GAGGAAGCACATTGGAAAAGAAATCTCCAAGAAGTAGACTTTATCGATACGTCGGTGTAACACTGTAAATATTAATAACGAGGCAACTAAATGTTACTTGAGAGAAAACAAGGCAGGCAAGCGGGCAGGCAGTTCGAGCTCTAGTGTTTATTAATTGGTTACCGCTACTACTGCCATCGACTCGACTCTTCATCGTGTATGTCGCGCATGAATCGCATTATGACGGGTGTGTTGAGAGCGCGTAACAGCGGTTTTGTCATTCGATCTCCTCGCGTTTTCGCTCGTGTTCTTACGTTAGTGTTCCCCATCGTCGTACGGATTACTGATTAGTTGTTAATTTACGATTAATTTAAACGAACGAAGAAAACCTGCGATAAATATCTCTCTTTCCCCCTCCACCCCTCTCTCTCTCTCTCTCTCTCTCTCTCTCTCTCTCTTTCTCTCTCTTAGTTGATCCTTACTGATTAGGTGTTAAGCCTCTACTTCTTCCTCGGTAAAGGCTTTTGATTTTTTCGTCGCTTTTTCTTACCCTTCGGTTTTTTATTCTCTATCGGTTCTCTCTCTCTCTCTCTCTCTCTCCCTCCCTCCCTCCCTCCCTCCCTCCCTCCCTCCCTCCCTCCCTCCCTCCCTCCCTCCCTCCCTCCCTCCCTCCGTTGACCGGCAGATGTTTCTTAGATATTTTCGGGGACTTGACGTGTCCAGCACTTTCGCTTCCCACAGATTCGTGTCTTCTCCCATCTCTCCTCCCCCCCCTCTCTCTCTCTCTTCTCTTCTTCCCTCCCTTTTCCCCTTCCTCATCTTAGATGCTCGTAATCTTCGAATCCGATCGTGCGATTTTTTTCCGCCACGATACGTAGGATCCTCGATCATGTAATATCACGCATACACACTCACACATGTACACACGTATACACACGAGTATATCGATCACGTACGAAAGGAAGAAGCGGAACAAATTTTACTTCGTGCCGATGAAACAATAAAACGTACCCAATAAGCGAAGTGCTGGCAGTTTGCCGGCAGATTGACTGGATTGACGGCAGATTGGGTGGCAGAATACTACGGCCGATAACTCTACCTTCCACGTTTTAAGAGCGCGTTCTGTCAATAGAGCCTGCCGACAAACAGAAATTGGCAGCAACTTCGCTGTGGAAGCCAAGCCCCGACCCGCTGTGTTCCATTCAAATATATTTAAACGTATTATTGATATAATAATATAATAATACTTTAAACAATTTAAATAATTGTGAATCGAGGCACATCCTGCTTGGTTTCTCCCGTCAATCTGTCATCGCACTCTACTAGTGCGTTCTATTGTATCTCTGTCAGCAAGCTGCCGGCAAAATTGACAGCGGACCTACGTAAAATCTGCCTCTGCGGATTTAGCTGCCGACGACGGGCGGGCGAGCGAGCGGGGCAGAAACACGAGCGAGCCGAGCAGCAGGAAAATACGCCAACTGCTGTTCGTTTGTTATCGTTCTACTTCGATCGCCTATCGCGAAGGCGGACAATTCGACGCGAGAGGAGAGTCTCTTCTCGCACAAGTTGTTTATCGTGGAACGTGCCTATTGCGCGCCACGTTATTCATCCAAGGTCAAGGGGGAATCGTGTGACGCTCGCGATGACGGGCCCTCGGCCGATCGGCTCACGCGCGGAATGACGGTTTGCGCAAAGTGCTCTCTCGAACAAACATTTTGTAATACTTATCGGCTCACGACGCAAGACCTAAGACTTCAGCTCGGGATTTGACGCATGGTGGGCGTTCAAGAGCGAGACAGACGCGACGCGAAACAAGAGTGATCTTCAAAGAGATATTAAGAAAAAGAGCGAGAGCACTCTGAGAAAGCTCAAGAAGAGAAGAGAGGAAAAAACAGAAAAAAAAATCAAATCTCTCTGATATATGCAAACTTCTACCTCCGTCTCGTTCTTACATGTCACTGCGTCGCGCGAACCACTCGATTCGTCCTGACGCGCGTTGCCGAGCAGCCGGAGTCACGCGGAAAAGCGTGGCGCAAGCCTCACCGCGAGCGGTTCCCTCGCTCGGAACACGAACAAACACACACACACTTACACACGCGCGATACACCAGCAAAAGCGAGGAGGAAAAGAGGAAAAGCGAGAAAGAGCAAAGGGGGCAGAATCGCGCGCGCGCGTTACGATATATGCGAGCCGAGCGAGTACGCGTCTCTCCCCGCCGGAGAGAGAGAGACAATGCGATCAGGAGTGTGTTATCTGTCACTGTAACCGCACTAATGTTCCGTAGCAGCGCGTGCGCGCGGCTTAACCGTTTCGTTCCCTCACCGTTTTGTACAGTGATTTAGCTGAATTTCGCAAGCCGTTCTTTCTAGGATGTAGCGTCATAGGTAGAAATTCTTCGCGTTTTAATCCTCCGTTCGAGCGTAGCGATAGCGGACTCTTAGGCACGGCCAGTCTCGCGCTCGTCGTTAGTCCTACGGTGACCAGATAACCAGCGTTTGTGGCGCGAACGGATGCGATGCGACGAAGCGCCGGGTAAAAACGGCCGTGCTCCTTTTCGTCTTGTTCGTCAACGAATTGGAAATGTCTCTCGGGGCAACGGTCGAGGTCGGAAAGAAGTTGATGAGGTATCAAGAAATGCCGTTGTGTGTCTCGCTCGCGATGGTGAGCGATGAGAGGAGAGCTCGGTCACCCGAGCGCGATATCGTCTCATTGTCCGATTTCTAGTGTTACTGTCGATAGTGATAATGACGGTAGTTTCGTTATTGATTGATAGTATTTTGGATTCCTTGCAAACGGGAAGAAATTCGAAGAAGCGTGCGTTTTGTCGCAGCCGCTCGCACGAGGACGGATCTCGTCGAGTAAGTTTTCACACACTCACAGTCACACGTACACACGCGCGCATACACACACACACACACGCATACACACGTACACACAAACACAAAGGACGGTGTCCAGCCGTTCCGTTGCATGTGGCTTGCCGTGTAAAAAACAAAGAAAAAAAATTCGCACTTGTTTGTTCGAAAGAAAGGAAAAACGGAAAAGAAAGCGATGAAGGGGAAACTGCGCTCGCGACTGCGAGTCGCTCGTCGCGAAATGTTTCTCCGAAGGCGGAAGGGAGACCAGAACGAAACCACACGCGCGGACGCACGACGGGCAGAGGTGAACATGTATATCGAGCGCGGATATTTTATAGTAGGCTTGTGATTATAAATCGAGGATTTATTGTGTCGAACGGTCCGAGACGAAAAAAAAGAAAGAAAAAGGACAAAAAAAAGAATAAAACGATGTATAAAGAGAAATATTGCTTTCCATACGCAGAATATACTATTGTAATTATGTCGTTAATAAATTGTTTTTTATTTTAAATCTCTCGCAAGTGTGGATGCGTGTGTGTGTATGTGTGTGTGTTGTGTGGTGCGTGAGTGGTATGTGTGAGTGGGTGTGTGCGTGTGTACGAGCGTGTACGTATCCGCGCATGCACACTCGTCGTCTTCGTGATCCCGAGAAAGCGGCGGACGATTCCATTCGCGATGAAATCCCATTTGCCGCGAGGTGCAATTTAATTTGCTAGCGCTCGCGCGCGGCAGTTACGAGACCGAGCGGAAATTGGGGAGAATAGCTCCGTAACTCGAGGAACGCGGGAGGAGGAGGGGGGGGGGAAGCGGTATCTTCCAGCGGCGAGCGAAAATTCGCAGCGAAACGTCGCTTAATTCGGCGCTAACGTGACGCGATTCCGAGGATCTGCTCTTCGTCGGGCGAGATAAAAAATTGAGATTCTTACAGCGAATGTTTCGGATCCAAGCCGACGTGCTTCGCGAACTCGCTTTAGGGGAATCTCGCAAGATCGCGCGCGATTAATTCGCTTCGATCAGATTTTCTTTTTTTTCTATGTTAAATCTCTCGCAGCCACGGAATCGCACGTTTTCTCGAACCGCGAATCGATCCTCTACGTACGCGGTACGAAGCGCGAGCACCACGTGCACAGCGACAGCCTCTGGTCGCTGCTGACCTCTCCCGTCGGCTGAGTCGCGGCTTTCAGCACGATTCGCGCCGAGGGGATGGCGTTAGCAGTACGGATTTCAATCGCGAGCTCTTGCGAGCGATTGTTTATTAAATATTTGCGCTTGCTCAGTCAATTGGCAGAAACGTCTCGTTTGTATTTTTACGAGCACCGAAATATATCCAAGTTGTCACCTCGATTAGTACAGAGCTCGATTTCGGTGCGCGACTTCGTATCGAATGATTTTATACTATTTCGAGTGACATTTTCGTCAAATGCCGAGCGTAATTGGCGAGATTGTCGCCAAGTAATCCAGCTATGTAACTTGTTTGAAAATTTAATAACTTCCATCTGTCAGATTAATTAATAGGTTCGTTGAAAGGGGGAGAGGGGGTCACTTTTAAGTAAATGTTTTTCTTACATTTTCTACTAAGAAAAACGCTTAAAATCACCTCGAGAACGCTTATTTTTCTTTTTTTCTCTTAATTCCGCGAAGCGCGAACGATGCGGCGGAGGGGGGAGGGGGAGGGGATCTTGCGCATTTTTCGTGCAAGACACAGAAAACAACACGCGCGTATTTCGTATTCATCCCCTAATCGCGCAACTTTTTCATGAGTGTGACGCGACGCGCTGAAGGAACCGGTCGGAGATTCTTTCCGATCGACGCTTGACGCTCGCCGGCTTTTCGCGAAACAACGGGAAGAAGCCGTGCAAAGGTGCCGCGCGAGGAACCACTCTCGCCGACACCATCGGGAGAAACCCTACGTCCCTCTTAGGAGCCGGCCAGCCCAGCGACACGTACAAATCGCACGATTATGCGAGCCGTGACACCGCGCTCGGCGGCGCTTGACTCCGAGAAAATGCGATTGGATTGATCCCGCTGATACATCGCCGTCCATTACCGCGCGCGCGCGCGTTCGCCTTTCGGCGACGCGAATCTCTTAGGAGCGCCGCGCCGGCCGGGGCGAATTTACATCCGTCGCGTCTATTACGGTTACGTCCGTCTCGCAAATTGCATCTGACAAATACTTGCTCTAACGACCAAGCGCCGGGCATGCTGGCGTATCGACACCGCAGAACGGCCGGATTGATC